CCTGGTCAAAGGAAACTCTATCTCCGGCACTGTTGTTAAAGGATAATGATTTCAGGAGATAAGAAAGCTGAATTGAAAAGAAAGCAGCAAACGTGATTGAGGTTCTGTTGGCTCTAATTCTCATTTGAGGGAGATTTCAAAGGAGGCTCACCTGATAGCAAAGAAATCATTTCAGCATCACAACAGGATAATTTATTTCTTGAAGTTTCTTATACCTTTAATTCTCTGAACCATTTCTTAAGTTACTTTACCTTGACATTGGTTAAATTTGGCTTTGAAACCAAAACATGAAACTTTTGAAAAAAAAATGAAATAGTGAAATGCTCTATTATAAAAGTCATTATCGATAGTATAACTTCTAATCGCCAGTTATCTTTATGTCTCCACTGACAGTTGCTTTCCTTCTATAGAAGCATCTTCTATGCTTTTGGGCCTTCAAGTCATTGTTGACTACTAGCAACTGCCTGGACTAGACCCTGCAGTTTTCTTGGCATGATTTTCAATAGTGGCTTGCCATTGCCTCCTTCCTAGGGCTGAGGGGGAGTGACCGGCCCAAGGTCACCAAGCTGGCTTCAGTGCTAAGGCAGGACTAGAACTCAAAGCCTGCCAGTTACTAGCCTGGTGCCTTAACCACTGTAACAAAGTGGCTCATCAAATACAGTAAGGGAATATATGCTTTAAAGAGAATGTTATACAGGTTTACCCTTGTTATTCTCAGAGTGTTTCCTTTTAAATATTACTTAACAAAAGCCCATCACAATTTTATGTCACACAATTGATTTTCTTCTTTCTTTGTTAATGGAAATTTTAGTCATCTTATGGAAATGCTTAGAGGGCAGCAGCTGAATGAATTTTAGTTCAGTCCTAGACCAGCATACAACTAACAACAGAACAATTACACTAAAATAGAGATAAAAACAAACAGTCATATTGATAGAAAAATAAGGTAAAGATAAAGTGATTAATCTAAAATTAAAGAGTACAGGAATTAAAACTCAAAAGTATTCTATAAAATTGCAATTAATTTTACAATGGATAATCTAAATGCTATAAATACTGTAACTAGGACAGGTAACTTTAAAAGGACTTGAGTAACAGTAGAATTTATAAAACACTAAGAGAATGTAAAGCTATGCTAACTTACATGAAGTCTAATACTTGCTGAAGCCCTGCTGGGTTTGTTTGGGATTCAGACAATCATGATCCAACCAGTTAGAAAAACAAATAAATAACAATAAAACAGAACATCAAATGGTATGTGTGTATTTAAAAGGAAAAGAGGAAAACAAAGGAGGGGGGAAGAAGAAAAGGGGGAAAAAAGGAAGAGAATATATATTGAGATATGGAAGCCTAGTTAAGGCTCAACATCAACTCATTGGAGTTGTTTACATTTAATCATAGATCCAGCACAGAACCGTGCTACATCGTCTGAATTCCCTGTCTCCTGATCAGCTAGCAGGAGACTAAGGTAGTTACCCTGGGTATTGAGTTATACATGGGAAAATATACATATCTTGTAGATTTCTATTAAAAAGGCAATGCAGCAACATATGACCCACATTTCTGTTGTGTACCCATCATAAGGAGAGAGCTGCAGCTCTTTTGGTATCTTACAGGACGTTCCCTCCAAGAGGGAGGACATTACATTGAGCAAGAGTAAAAGCTCTTCTGTTGCTTTGGGGAGCAGTACTGTAGAGGAAATGTGCAGAGCAATACTTTTTTGTTGGTTGCCTGAATGAATATATAGTGGAACCTGGGTAAGATCAGCAACAAGAGTGCCACAAATCATTGTCTCTATGTAAACTTATTACCTGCCAGAGCTGCTGATTCAGGCGCTTCCTTCTCTCTCTTCCACCCATTGCCTTGTGTCTGGAGATTGAGGAATAGATGGCATGTAAGGCATGAGCCACAGCATGGACAGCATTGTAGATGCTATAGCTCTGGCCTGTGATCCTCATTGGAAAGACGTGCTCAGGAAGGTTCTCCAGCTTTTCCATTCCTGTGCAGG